TGCCAAAGTTTATTTTTCTGTTTCAAATGTTACCTATTCTAAAGAGTGAACGTAATTTAGATGAATGGCAAAAAGGTATTAATAAATTTGTTTGGGCAGGGAAAAAACCAAGGGTGAAACTTAAAATAATGCAAGATTTTCGTGAGAGAGGTGGACTCAAGGTACCAAATATGAAATTGTATTATGATGCTGTAGTATTAACATTGATCAGCGATTGGGTGAATTTAACAAATATAGAAATACTTCATTTGGAAGGTTGGGATTTACTTTTTGGATGGCATGCCTATTTAATATTTAATAAAAAAGTGGATTGGGTTTTTAAGTCTCATATTATAAGAATCTCTTTGCTTAGAGTGTGGAGGAAGTATTACAAATGTGATTTTAAAATATCATTATGGGCTATACCTCGGCATGCCATAGAAGGCATAAGGAAAGGGGTTAATATGGATATGGTCTCTTATGCACAGTTACTTAGATGGGATGGCCAAGACTGGCAGTTAAAATCTTTGGAAGAATTAACACATGAAAATCTAATTTATTCATGGTTCCAATATAGACAAATAGTGGATAGATGGAAGATGGATTGTAAAATGGGCTGGCTCAGAGAAGATGAAATTCTTCTAAAACAAGTAAGAGATCAAAGGCCAACCCATATAAAGAGAGTTTATGGGGTTTTAGTGGAATTGGATTCAGAATCTGAATTAGTTAAAGATTGTATGATTAAATGGGCACAGAATATTGGTGAATCGATTTCAATGGATACTTGGGAACTTATTTGGATAAGAAATGTTAAATTCACACAAGCGCAAAATTTAAGAGAGAATTTTTATAAGATGTTTTATAGATGGCACCTTGATCCAAAGAAAATGTCCATTATGTACCCTAATTTACAGCCGAAATGCTGGAGATGTGGACACTTGGATGCTACTTATTATCATATCTGGTGGACGTGTAAGCATATAAAAGCTTTTTGGATTAAGATATGGTGGAATATTCAAAGAATTTTTAGAAAGAGGGTAAAATTTACTCCGCAATTATTTTTATTAGGTATTGTTATTGATTGTGATGCTAAGGAGGTTATATTGATGTTAAATTTGATTACAGCCGCTAGGCTGTTAATAGGACAATATTGGAAGAAGGAATCCTTGCCTACTTTACAAGAGTGGTTTTATAAAGTTTCGTATTTGGCAGAAATGGCAAAGATTTCGGCTTTTTTAAAGGAGCAATCTCAAGAGAAATTTTTTGCGGTATGGGAAAAATGGATAAATTTTATACAACATAATTTGGATATGGAAAAATATTATTTAGCTTTTCTATAACTTGTAATGATTGTTTTTTTTTCTTTCTTTCTTCTTTTTTTTACGCTTTATGTATTATTATTCATATACTTTTTTATATATGTTTTATTTTTCGTCTACCTTTTTCTTTTTTTCTTTCTCTCTCTCTTTTCTTTTTCCTTTTTTCCTCTTTTTTTTCTTTTTTTTTTAGTATATATTATTCACTTTAAAGCTTATGTTATGTATATTATTATTATATATATTATGATTACGATTTTTATTATTATTATTCATTATCTTATAAATTGTAAACGTTATTTTTAAAATTTGTTAAATAATCCTATATTCAGTTCTGGGAAGTCGGGGGGGGGAGGGTGGGGTGGTTTGGGAGGGGGGGTGGATGTTTATTTGTAAAATTTCTGAAAAAATTCAATAAAAAAAAAAAAAAAAGATTCTAGTCCCAAATTGTGGTTGTAAGTTGAGGACTACCTGTAGGTAATATATGAACCCACCTAATGATGGCTTGGCATAATTTTTAAAAAGTTTACCATTTTCCTCTTTAATCATCACAATACAATTTCCAGCTTTTTTCCTTGCTTGAACCCAAAGTCACACTTACTGCCTTTTTCTAATTTACTAAGGTTGCTAAAATGGCGAAGTGAGAGAGACAGAAATATTGGGATACTTTTTTTGCTAAACAAAAAAGACTCTGCTTGCTTTAGTTTTTTTATGCCTGCATTTAGGCAAAATCAGCATTGAATGTGCATACCAGTATAAAGGAGTAACAGCCACATATTGACAGTGATAGTCAGGGAGATTTGGACTCCCAAGGCTTCAAGTGGAGAGTGGCATCAGAACATCTGTATTACAATCATTGACTAGAGAAAAGTAGGATAATTTAATGGATGCAACTGATTTTTATTTAGCTTGACTTGATCATCTTTAGTAATAATGCATCACAATTCTGCATTATAAATATATTAAAGAAATAATACACACCTAAATTAATGAAGCAGAATCTTAAATCAATCAGAGCATTAAAGCTCTGCAAAAGAGAACCTGTTACATTTGTGTGCAAGCACCAATGGCTCTATGGAAGACAATATGACCCTCTCATCCCTAAGCATCTTTTCTCATTATTTAAAGCTCATTGCTATCTTGGTTTCCAGGGAGACCACAGCAAAGAAACAACAGGGAGAATAATTCAAGTATGAGTGACACCTGACTTGGAATGGCCTTCAACCAGGGACAGCTTCTTTCGCAACACAACCCCAATTGACATCAATCATACTGTTTTAGAGGTAAATAAAAATCATATTACTCTCCTATATGCTTTAATGTCCCCTGGATTTACTGGTTTTGTTTCTTAGCTGTTGATAATTTCTTGGCCATTATTGGATTGTGTTTACTATAATTAAGCATTCCAGTGTTTTTCAAACTTGGTAACTTTAAGGTATGTGGACTTCAATTCCCAGAATTCTCCAGCCAGCACATCATGGCTAGCTGGGGAATTCTGGGAGTTGGTCCACACATCTTCATGCTGCCAGGATACTGAAGGATACTGAACTCTTACAGGAAATGTTTCTTACAGGAAATGCTCACAAGGAAGCATGGCTAAAGTTTTTTTTTCCAGCCGACCCATCCTTTTTCAGGGATACAGGTAGTCCTCAGCCACGACTGAGCCCAAACTTTATGTTGCTAAATGAAACATTTGTTAAGTGAGTTTCGCCAGATGGTATGACTTTTCTTGCCATTGTTGTTAAGTGAATCGCTGGAGTTGGTAAGTTAGTAATAAGGCTGTTAAGTGAACCAGGCTTCCCCCATTGGATTTGCTTGTCAGAAGGTTGATCACATGATCCCGGGAGGCTGCAACTGTCACAAATATGAGCCAGTTGCCAAGCGTCCAGGGACGCTGCCACAATCATCAAATGTGAAAAATGGTCATAAGTCACTTTTTCAGTGCGGTTCTAACTTTGAATGATCACTAAATAAATGCTTGTAAGCCGAGGACAACTTGTACCCCGTTCCAGTCTTCCTTCCAAGGCTCTTGCCGCTTTCTCTTGACCGCGTGATCAGGCAGCATTCTGTGGTCACCGAATATGCGCCTGCCCCCCTTTATCTGTGCAAATCTTGAACTGTATAGTTCTCCTACACAACAATTGGTACTCTAACTTTCTTACTGGGCTGCAAGTCACCAGTGGCATTTATGTGAAAGGAGAGATAGGACAAATATATATTAATGAAAAATTCTAGAGATAGCCAGTAACAACACAGAATGTCAAACCTATTGTTTAATAGGAAGCACCTAGCCCCTGCCAAATATTCATGGAAGCAGGATCTATCGATCTACTATATATATATATGTTGTTTTCGCGGGTGTTTGTATGTAGGTCTTTGGTTATTCGGGTTTTCTCCCACGTAAAATTGGAAGTGTCTTGGCGACGTTTCGACGAAGTCTCATTTGTCATCTTCAGGCTGGTGCTTTCGGCTTCGTGCTTCTAGGAGCAATGTGTGATTGTAGCTGTTTCCTCCTTTTAACTGCCAGGGGGGGTATGAACTGATTGAATGAGAGCTTGGCTGTGTTCTGATTGGATGGAGGTGTGTTCTGACTGGTTAGGAGCTTGGCTGTGCTCTGATTGGCTGGGGGGTCCCCCAGCCAATCAGAGCACAGCCAACCCCCAGCCAATCAGAGCATAGCCAACCCTCCAGCCAATCAGAGCACAGCCAAGCTCCTAACCAATCAGAACACACCTCCATCCAATCAGTACACAGCCAAGCTCTCATCCAATCAGTTCATACCCCCACTGGCAGTTAAAAGTAGAAAACAGCTACAACCACACATTGCTCCTAGAAGCACGAAGCCGAAAGCACCAGCCTGAAGATGACGAATGAGACTTCGTCGAAACGTCGCCAAGACACTTCCAATTTTACGTGGGAGAAAACCCGAATAACCAAAGACCTACATGTATGTATGTATGTATGTATGTATGTAGGTAGGTCTTTGGTTATTCGGGTTTTCTCCCACATAAAATTGGAAGCGTCTTGGCGACGTTTTGACGAAGTCCCATTCGTCATCTTCAGGCTGGTGTTTTCACCTTCGTGCTTCGAGGAGCACGTGCTCCTCCTCCTCCTCGAAGCACGAAGCTGAAAACACCAGCCTGAAGATGACGAATGGGACTTCGTCGAAACGTCGCCAAGACACTTCCAATTTTACGCGGGAGAAACCCTGAATAACCAAAGACCTACATACAAACACCCGCGAAAACCTCAGAAAAGAAAGAAGATTTCTTTCTCCTATATTTGGGCTGACAGGGTGCACATTCAAGGTATAAATATATACATATTTATAAATATTTATTTATTTATTTATTTATTTCTTGGTACAATAACATCATTGTCAGATTCACATGAGGAGATCTACCCTAGTAAGAACACAAAATCTTTACAATTTGAAAAAGGGGGTATTATGCTCCTACCCTTGCTAAGCCCCCAGGGAAGCTAATTAATGATAATCCACTTCAAAACCCAACATGTTGTTCCCTCAATCCATCTGTCTTTCTCTGTCACACACTCCACATACAAATATGTATCCACACATTGACAATATTTCAGTATTTCAAGTCAAAAGCTTTTTAGGGAAAAGTGGCACTGGGAAATTGTGTAGCCCCCAATGACATTTGCAAGGCTGCCAAAGTTTCTTCCCATCAGGAAGCTGGATCTTACCTGATCCAGGACAATTATTTCATCAGCATCAACCACGGTTGACAACCTGTGTGCAATGAAGATGGATGTTCTGTGCCTTACAATGTCTCTCATGGCATTCAGGATGTTCTGAAAAATTAAAACAGATTAGCAAATGAGTATGATTTAATCACACATAGAAACAAGCTGCCAGAAGTTCCAATGTCATAAACAAAGAAAAAAAGGCACAATTTGATGCACAGGTAGTCCTCAACTTGTTTGCTTAGCAACAACAAAGCCACAATAGATTTCCCCAGAGCTATTTATGACTCGTGTTTGAAATTACAGTGGCCGTATCCCCCCTCCCCCGTCACTTGACTGGATTTCAGGCACCTGGCAACTGGCTCACTTTACGACTGCAGTGTCCTGCGGTCACATCTCTGTAATTTGCTATGGTTTTTTTTTTTTTGGCCATTTTTCAGTGTTTACTTTTGGTTTCCAGGAAAAAAAAGACCCGCCTACTGGAGGAAATGGATTCATTTAATGACTGCATCATTTAAGAATTGCCAGAAAAAATGGCAAAAAAAAAAAATTAGGTCCATGATGCTTTGGTTTGTGATAGCAGCGAAATATGACTATAATTCTCGGCTCAGCTATGATTGTAAGTCAAGGACTACTTATATTTCATTTAATGTACATGCTATGAAAACTATGAAAACCACAAAAGAAAGATTCCTTCATTGTGAAGTCTAGATATCCCATGGGAAAAATCAGAGGAAACTTTAGTTTCTAAACGGGAGAAATGTGCCTGCTCCAGCAGTGATTTATTTTTTTGCTTCCTTTATAATATAGGAAGGCAACAGACAAGTTTTGCTTTCCCTTAAATGCCCTTTTGATTGCTTGTTGCACACTTTGGGGGGAAAGGAGTCGTATTTTACTAGCTGCTTTTAAAGTGCAGCTGTGTTGTGTAAACATTCAACTTCATTTGACAACCTCATAATAAATATAGCAAAATGAACGGCAACAAACAAGTAGAATAAACAAGCTCACTAAAAATTCTTATCATGATCAGTGAACAGAATCCAAGGAGATTTTTCTTGACAGGTGCATCTGCCTCCTTTTATTCTTCAGAAATGAACTGTGCATCAACCACCAACAGCCAGACCCTCTCGTGATCAGCAGTCCTGGTACGTCAAGTAACCTAACACAAGCAGACGTGGTGAGCTTTGGCTGGAGACAAGGCAACTAAAGGCAGTTGCCGGGAGTGCAAGTGTCCATGTATATATTATGAAGCTGCCACTGTGATGTCACAGCATCTGTATCACAACACCCTGATGCTTTACAGCCCTACGTGTGAATATAATTTGGTGCCAAATGGAAACATTATCCACAGTCAACTCTGCATCCCAAGAAAGGTGCATCAACAATGAGGATTCCACGGTTCTACGACTCAACATGCAAGAATAATTGAGAGGGCCAATTTTTATGAATATTAAGTGGCAACCAGCTGCTTTCCTTCAAATTAAAACTTCACCTCTTAGAGTGAGCAGGTCAAGCAATTCCAACTGCTCTGCTTAATACTTAATGCTATAATTTATTCAGAAGTGGGTTCGTTTCTCCGTCCAGTTCCAGGAAAGCCGGTTCTCCCACTGCTCCACCTTTGATCTTGGGAGCCTGGGATAACGAGATGTAGGACTGCAATAAAGATGTAGTGGGGGAGGGATGGGGGGAGGCAGCCTACCTCTTCTGTAATGGAATCTAAGGACGAAGTGGCTTCGTCATAGAGAATAATGGGAGGATTCTTCAAGATGGCTCTGGCTATTGCAATCCTCTGTTTTTCACCTCCTAAAAAAAAAAGAAAGGCACGTGCACATAAAGTCAGTGAAAACTATTTTGGCTTGGAAGACCATTCTGAAATGAAGGACACCAGAGAGCCATTGTGGCGGAGTAACAAAATAACAAAATTGGAAGCAACCTTGGTCCAACAGCCTGACGAGCAGGAAACTCTATGCCAGGGGTTCTCAACCTTGGCAACTTTAAGACTTGTGGACTTCAACTCCCAGAATTCCTCAGCCAGCTTTGAAGTTGAAGTCCACAAGTCTTAAAGTTGCCAAGGTTGAGAACCCCTGCTCTATGCCATTTCAATCAAATGGCTGTCCTTAAAATCCTCCAGTGTTGGAGCACCCACAACCTCAGGAGATAAGTCGTTCTACTGATGAATTGTTCTCAGGAAATTTCTCCTTAGTTCTAGGTTGGTTCTCTCCTTGGTTAGTTTCCATTCATTGGTTCTTGTCTTGCCTTCTGGTGCTTTGGAAAATAGGGTGACCAGCACTTTGTCTCCCCCCCCAAGGATTTTGGTGTCTTGGCATGTTCTCCAGCATTAAGGATACTCTTTGCTTCCACTCTTTAAGGCCAAAATTAAGCTATTTTTCTAGGCCACCATATTGCTGCATTATTACTTTAGATGTACAGCCTGTCTTTAAAAATTTAAAGTCCATTTCCGATTTGGAGGCCTTGGAAGTAATTAATGGTTATATCGGCATCTGCTTTCTTGTCCTACATGTCAAAGATCTGACAAGCTTCCATTTTAAAGTTTTCATGTTCCTGGTGATGTGCCCTTCTAACTAACATAGCCTTGTTTTAGCAAAGCCACTTTAGGAGGATAATAATCTCATTTCACTTTAAGCCTTAAGTGGCTGTCCTGAAGCTGAGCAATAAATAAAAATTGAACTAATCACCAAGATGTGATTTCTGCTTCTCACTTCCTTGATAACATGCTTACCCTGAAGTGTATTGTATTTGCTATTGCCAGTATTTATAAAAGTAATGGTTCCATAATGCAAGATCTTTTCACGGGTCTTCTTCCAAACTCTCTTCAAAGACCACCCATGACAATCTCAGGATAAATGGGAGAAGGAGTTCCTCAACTTGTTACTGAATCACTGTCTGGTTCTTGGAACAGTGTGGGAAGAGAATCATTTCAGATCCAATAGAATTATAAAGTCCTTCTGTTTAGGATACAACATGAATTCTGTGCACACAGCCATAGCTGCTTATACACTGTAAAATTACCATGAACTGTACCATCCTAACACATACACTTGCAAACAAAGTCCAGTTGCCTTTTGTCTGTCTGCCCATCCATCCATCCATCCATCCATCCATCCATCCATCCATCCATCCATCCATCCATCCATCCATCCATCCATCCGATCTAACACTACCTATCGCCTGTCCTTTCATCAGTTCCAACAAGGTTCTACACCAGTGGTTCTCAACCTGTGGGTCGGAACCCCATTTGGGGTCGAATGACCATTTCACGGGGGTCGCCAAACAACGCAGTCCGCCATTTTTTTTACCCTTTTCCTTAGCTGTGCTACTCCCTTTTGAAAATCAATAGAATAACTCTCTTGAATAGAGCCTAATTCTATTGGCTTTCAAAAGCCAATAGGAATTGTCCAGGCTGCCTCTGCCCTGCTGAGCCTGCCAAAAGTCCCATTCTGCAAACGGTGCTGCACCAGTTGAGTAGTCCTCAACTTATGACCGGTTGGGGGTCGCGGCATTAAAAAGGTTGAGAACCACTGTTCTACACGCACTTGCACTATTCAGGTGACCCTGAGGACACAGATAGACCTCCAAGTGGCCTCAACGACTCTGAGAAAGAATGCTAATGACCAGATGACTGCAAGGAATATAAATCATTCCATCCTGCACCATTCAATCAGAAATGAAGATGTTTCTTAGATGAGAAGCGAAATGTCTTCAAAGAAAAACAAGGAAGTCCAGTTGCCTTTTGAAAAAACACTTTTGGGACAACCAGGACCTGGATGACTGAGCATCTCCATAGATATTTGTTGGATTTATATAGTCGTCCACTTACTCTCAGAGACACTGGGAGGTTTACAAACAATAAAAAGCCCAATATAAAAAGAACAAGAACAATAACCCACTATTACAAACTCCTATGAGTCATATAATATAAACTTTTCCATAATTTCATTTACTAGTCTTGCATCTTTATTATTTTTAACCAATAACTCAAGGTGGCGAGTACACACAACACATCTTCCTCCTGCTAGTTTCCCCACAAGAACAACCTTGTGAGATGGGTTGGGCTGTAAGAGAACAACTGGTCCAAGGCCACCCAGCTGGTATTCATGGCTAAGGTAGGACTACAACTAACTATCTCCTGTTTTCTAGACTGGCTCCTTAACCACTAGACCAAACTGGCTGTATGAGAGTTATCACTAACTGTGATATGTCCAAAACATTTCACAGTATTTATAAAGTATCAGAATCCAATTATATTTCATCTCTAGTTATCAATTATAGAAAACCCCATTTCTGCCTTCTCTGGATTCTGCCATACGAGGAAGGGAAGGGGGTGAACAAAGGGGCTTTATGGCCCTCACTTCCTTCAGTATACTTCAAAGGAACTGAATTCATCCCCTCATTTGCCCAGAAAGCCTTGCCCCTCACTCGCATGCCCCAATATAACAGCGCACGAACCACAGATTCTAAACCAATAATGGCAGAGTCACAACTGGCAGCACCAGTAACCACAAGAACCCAAGCTAAATTAAAACCACAACTGGACAGCCAAACTGGAATTGAATTCAGAAAAAGTTTGGAAACAGACGAATGGTTCCAGAAAAACAAAAATGTGTGCACAAGGAGAGATGGGTTGCCTTGGGTAGGGGAAAAGTTATATATACCAACAACCCAAAGAGTCACTTTCATGCAGCTTTGCCATGACACAAAATCAGCAGGGCATTTTGGATTTGTAAAAACTTTACACTTAATTAAACAGCAATTTTGGTGGCCATCAATTAAAAAGGACATAGAAAGTTATGTAGCCAGTTGCCCAAAATGTGCCACTGCAAAGAGGTTGCAAGGGAAATTGCCAGGACTATTACAAACAGTGGCAAATCCCTCAGCCCCCTCGAAATAAATAGCCATAGATTTTATAGTGGAATTGCCAGAAAGCAATGGGAATACTGTTGTCTGGATAGTCACGGACTTGTTTTCCAAACAGGTGCACTTTATCCCTTGCCAAAAGATTCCCACTGCAAAAGCCTTAGCAAAACTTTTCATCCAGCACATTTACAGATTGCATGGGGCACCCCAACGCATCATCTCTGACAGGGGGGTGCAATTTACGTCTGCATTTTGGAAGGAATTTTTATCCCTCTTAGGAACCACTCAGGGCTGACATCTAGCCACCATCCACAAGGGAATGGGGGGGGGGGGGGCTGAAAAAATGAACTCCGTACTTAAGCAATATTTAAGATGTTTTCTTAGTTTCTAGCAAACCGAGTGGGCGGACTTACTCCCTTTTGCAGAAGTTGCCTACAATAATGCAGTCCACTCCAGCACAGGTTACACTCCTTTTCAAATAGCCACCGGTCAAAGTTTCAACCCCATGCCAGAATTAACCCCAAACGAACCAACGATCCCATCACTGAAAGAATGGATGGAAAAACTACAGAACACCTGGCTAATAGTTAGAAAAGCACTAGATGAAGCTAGGCAGGCATACAAAGCAGAAGCCGATAAAAAAAGGGTTGAGCCTACACCATTCATTATAGGTGAAATGGTGTACCTATCTACAAAATACCTAAAGTCCCTACAACCCTGTAAAAAACTTGGACCAAAATATATAGGGCCTTTTCAATTAAAAGAATCATAAACCCAGTAACAGTAGAATTAGAATTACCAAAAAATCTCAGGCAAATACACCCAATTTTTCATTGCAGCTTGCTGAAAAGAGAGCATCAGTCAGCTTTACGGCCAAAAATCCCCCCCCCACCACCTCCAATCATGGTGGAGGGCGAACAACACTTTGAAATAAAGGAAACCCTTGACTCTAGGAGATATCATGGAGCGACTCAGTACTAGTTGCCTGGAAACACCTCCCTCCCTCACAAAACGAGTGGGTCCATAAATGTCATGTCAGAGCCCCGAAGCTATTAAAGAAGTTTCACACAGAGTATCCTAACAAGCCTGACTAACTTTTATACCTGTTTTGTTTTCTTTCAGGTGGATCTGTCTTATTTTTGAGGGGGCCGGATGTCAGAATCCAATTATATTTCATCTCTAGTTATCAATTATAGAAAACCCCATTTCTGCCTTCTATGGATTCTGCCATACGAGGAAGGGAAGGGGGTGAACAAAGGGGCTTTATGGCCCTCACTTCCTTCAGTATACTTCAAAGGAACTGAATGTGTGTATTGCCAAAAGAGCTAACCATAAGAATGGGGCTATTGCCTTTCATGTAGTTTTCTTTGAAGTCTCCATCCAGCTGGCAGTAATGAAAAGGGGGGGGGAGTGTAATGCCTGAGACTGTCGCTGAAAGAGGGCGGTGATTGGGTGGGGCTACTGGGGAACCCCTTAAAACCTTGAATTGGAGAGCTTGGACCCCAAGTCCTGTCTAGAACGCCTGCAACCATTTTCTCTTAATAAAGGATTCCTGTTGGAAGAATTATTCCAAGAGTTCTGTCTTCTTAAGATGCAAAGTGGGGTGGGTCCTTACATAAAGTCAAGAAAAATCAGGTTTTAAATATACTCATAAAAATCACTTACAACATGTCTTGGCAATGCATTTCCAGTAATGTGATAAAATAAAGCGAGCGTTTACCATCTGTAATGTTCACAATAGTTATTGCATATCCTTTGAGAGAAACAGATTTCATTTCTGCAGTAGTGACCTTCCTGCAAACCTTCTCAGCATAAGTCAATGCTATAATTAAAAGTATAGCATTTGATTAAGAAAAAAATGGCCATTTCTTAAACTGAGTTACTGTGTGGCTGCAATTTCCAAGTTAGAAATTAAAAGTCCAGCAATAAACAAGAAAGACATTTGCCCTAATAAATGCTGAGCTTATATAAACAATGAATTACATAAATCATGAACAAATAACATTCCTCTCTCCTTTCTTAGTTCCCATATTTATAAAAGTACCAGAAAGAAATCTGAACAGATTTTCAATGGAGACCACTATCCCAGATTTAACTATCCTGAAAGATTCTGGCCTACAACTCTTGGCCTGATACTAGGAAATCTCCCAGGCCACCGTAAGATAAACAGCTTAACAGAAACTGGGTTTTCTGATTCCAGCATCATAGAGAGAGGGGACAGTAGTTCATTTGGAGGACAAGATTCCCTACCTCTCATCCAAAGCTTCCTTGAGTAATGAGTACCCAACAGGGCAGTATCCCTAGGAATTAAAGATTGCGAAGTCTCGAGAGATATTTTAGAAGTGCAATGTCTTTCAAAATATAATAGTTTCCACTTAATCAGAGGCTGCATATTAGTGGAGGTTGCTGCTCATTTTAGAGGTATGGGCCAATCATGGGAATACTAAGTTGATTCCATGAAATATGCAGCATTTGATTTCTATGCTTTCTTCCATTGTTATAATTGTGCTAGGCCAGTGGTTCTCAACCTTTCTAATGCCGCGACCCCATAATACAGTTCCACATGCTGTGGTGACCCCCAACCACTTATACATCACCGGGTACCAGGGGCGTGGCCAAAGAAAAGGGGAAAAAATGGTGGATGGCCTTGTTTGGCGACCCCCGTGAAATGGTCGTTCGACCCCAAATGGGGTCCCGACCCACAGGTTGAGAACCACTGTGCTAGGCTGTGAATGGAATTTGAATGGAACGTTCAATAGTCGGCATTGGGAGTTTATTTATTGTTTAGACAAATCATGCCTTTATTACTTTATAAGTAACTCAAGGTGGCAAACATCCCTAATACTCCTTCCTCGTCCTATTTCCCCCACAATAATAACCCTGTGAGGTGCGTTGGGCTGCAACAGAGAAGCTGGCCAAAGTCACCCAGCTGCCTTTCATGGTTACGGTGGAACCAGAACACACAAATTTAGCTCCACTCTTATCTGTGCTAATACTCCGTGTTAACACAGCTATACATCCTTCCAACAAATAATAAATTCTTCTGTTTGCGTCTTCCTCCAACCTATCCATACTAAAAAGATTCATAGTGATGCAAATTAGATACATAAATGATGTCCTAGGAGAATGTTACAGGATCCAGTCTAGGTCAGTTACTGGGACCAAAGGTTTAATCTTCTGAGCTTTTGGACTCATGCTGGAGTCCATCCTCAGGGAAATTTCTTTCTCACCAAAACGTGTTCTTTGGGCTATTCTATGGATAGTATTTATGTGGTGCCTGGTTGTGGGTCTTGTTTCCTTGTGCTGCCAAATCCTCGGCTCATAGAATAGCCTAAAGCAGACATTCTGTTGAGAGAGGCTCCCTGAGGATGGGATGATGATACTACTACTACTACTACTACTACTACTACTACTACTACTACTACTACTACTACTACTACTACTAATGTTACAAGGGACCTTGGAGGTCTTCTAGTCCAACCCCCTGCTCAGGCAGGAAACCCTATACCATTTCAGACAAATGGCTGTCCAGTCTCTTCTTAAAAACTTCCAGTATTGCAGCATTCACAATTTCTGGAGGCAGGTTGTTTCACTGGTTAATTATTCTGACTGTCAGGAAGTTTCTCCTTAGTTCTAGGTTGCTTCTCTCCTTGATCAGTTTCCATCCGTTGCTTCTTGTCCTGCCTTCAGGCGCTTTGGAGAATAGATTGACTCCCTCTTCTTTGGGGCAGCCCCTGAAATATTGGAAGACTGCCGTCATGTCCCCCTCGTCCTTCTCTTCATTAAACTAGACATACCCAATTCCAGCAACTGTCCTTTATATGTTTTAGCCTTCAGTCCCCTGATCATCCAGCATGAGTCCAAAAACTCAGAAAATTAAACCTCTGGTCACGGTGACCAACCCAGATTGGATCCTGCAAATTAGATGAAATTCTATTAGCACTACATAGCAACTACTTAAACAGTGATTTTTCCCTTCTTTCGATCATATATTTAGGCTGCGGTGTCAAAGAATCTTAGATAAAAATATGTTTTTTTCTACAATATGAGATGCAGATGCTTCTTTCATCCCATTTATGAATCTCACAAGGAAAATTAAACAGAATTATCCTGTGTTCTCTGTCACCACTGCCATCATCACTCTCAGCTAAATGTTGCCATTAAATAGTCAATTAAGAGACACACGTCAACCTTCAAAAAAGTTGGACATCTACAGCTTCCAATTTTGATTAGTATCAGTTGTGTCACGGGAAATCTTTACATACTTCCTTACACAGATGGACAGACAACAAGTTTCATCCAATCTCCCAGCAACCCAGAGACAGTGGGTCACTTTTTTCCAGGAGCGACTAAAGGGGCAAAGTAACCAAGATGAATGGTACCCGCTTTATCACTTGACCCAGGACAAAGAATCCTCTCTGACATTTTGGATTGAGAAGGAAATGAAAGATTTAAGGCACAAGCTGTTTACCCCTCAAGTCCCTTCCCCAAAGACTCATCCACCTGTGACTGACAGCTGCGTGGTCTACTGTACTCACAGCTACGATGATACCATGTTTGGTTGTCATCCTATGACATTGGGATGTGCCCTAGTGGCCCTTGGAGACATAACAATAACAACAAGAAGATGCAATCACTGGCTGCAAGACAGTTTTGTATTCCTCCATCTTTAAATCTGTGTAGCTACTGCTAATTGTCTCCATCTAATCCAGGGATGGGGAATGATGGTCCCTTTATGATTTGTGGACTTCAAGTCCCAGAATTCCTGAGCCAGCATGGCTTTATTCAGGAATTCTGGGCGTTAAAATCCACATCATAAAAGGGCCATCGTTCCCCATCCCCGATCTAATTAAACACACGGGGGAGGATGGCACAAAGAGCACACCCACTCTCAGTTCTTGATAATAAAGCTTTCTGAGCTGCTTCTGCAGAAGCATCAGACCAACTGCTGGATGACCATTTAATACTAAACTTGGCATTTATCTGTCTGCTAAGGAAGGTCAGGTTAGGAAAGCATTCGCTGAGGCAAGACAGAAAAACAAAGGTGCGGAGACCAGAGCCCCCCCCTCCCGATTTCCTTACCTGACAGTTTCAGACCTCGCTCGCCTACTTGGGTGTTGTACCCATTGGGCATTCTGAGAATAGCATCGTGAATTCCGGCTAGCTTTGCCACCGCATAGATGTCTTCTGCAGAGGCATTGATATTGCCATACTGGAGGTTGTAGAAGATGGTGTTGTGGAAAAGAACAGCATCCTAAGAAACACACAAACAAAACGATGCTTCTTAAATACAGGTAGTCCTCAACTTATAACAGTTCATTTAGTGACCGTTCAAAGTTACGGCACTGAAAAAAGGGAGCATTTTTCACTTAAGACCGTTTCGGCGTCCCCATAGGTCACCTGATCAAAATTCAAATGCTTGGCAATTGACTCGTATTTACGACGGTTGCAGTGTCCCAGGGTCACGGGATCCCCTTTTGCAACCTCCTGACAGGCAAAGTCAATGGGGAAGCCAGATTCACTTAGCAGCCCTGTCACTAACTTAGTAACGGCAGTGATTCACTTAACAACTGTGGCAAGAAAGGTTGTAAAATGGGGCAAAGCTCACTTAACCAAAGTTTAACTTAGCAACAGAAAGTTTGGGCTCAGTTGTGGTCAAATGTTGAGGACTGCCTGTACCAAATGCCGATCGGCAATGCAGAGGGCCTTTGCAAAGTCAACAGAGTTAGCTAATTTTTTCCAAAAAGCAACAGAGCTCCTGGGACATTGGAAGAGCAGGCAAAGATGCTGCTGCAAGGGCCGTTCTAACCCAAGCTAGGGTGGCCGAGAGGAAGAACACTCACCATAATTTCAACATTAATAGTTTCTCCTACTTAAGCGGGGGGGGGGGGGACTAGAACAGGGCTTTTCAACCTTTCCACCCATTGTATCACTTTTAGGATATGGCAACATCCGAATACCACCAGTCGCTAGCAAGGGGTCAAAAACTTGATGACAAAAAAAAAAGTGATAAAGTACAAGTAGTCCTCGACTTACAACAGTTCGCTTAGTGACTGTTCGAAGTTACAATGGCGCTGAAAAAAGTGCCCCCCAAGCCACAGCCGAGCAAGACACCTGCCTGCCCGCCTGCCTGGCGGCACTCTTCCTCCTGTCCGAGGTTTTCATTGCTGTGAGCATTTCTGTTGAGGATTGGCAGCGGGGGTGGGTTGGGGGGTGTTTGGTTTTTATTCCCCCCGTCTGCTGGATGGTCATGTACCACCTGCTAGGTGCCTTTGTACCACAGGTGGTACCCGTACCACTGGTTGAAAAGCCCTGGACTAGAAGACCTCCAAGGTCCCTTCCAGTTCTAGTCTATCCTATATTCTAACATTGCTTACAAAACAGCCTGGGAAGCTGACTTGGCAGGACAAGACTGTTGAGGATCTATATATCATTCAGATTTAAACTCCCAAAGACTCTAACTCAGGGCTTTTCAGCCAGTGGTACGGGTACCGCCTGTGGTACATTGGCACCTGGAAGGTGGTACGCGATCATCCTAGAAAAGAGGTAGTGGGGGAGAGGAATGAGCTGAACCGGTGGCAGCACCGCACAAGCTTGAGCGAGTGATGGCTGGAGCTGCAGGGCTGTGAGGGCTCAGCGGAAGCCCCAGGATCAGTGCCGCTTTCCAGCTGATTGGCGCTTCTTCAGGACTGTCAGGGCTCAGTGGAAGCGCCAGGATCAGTGCCAGGCTCCAGCTGGAGCTCGGCACTGATCCTGGGGCTTCCGCTGAGCCCAGAAGAAGCACCGATCAGCTGGAATGTTGCAGCATCTCCAGGGTCTTGTGATTTACATTCAGATGCTTGGCAACTGATTCATATTTATGACGGTCACAGTGTCCGAGAGTCATGTGAAGTGACCAAAACCTGCTGCAACCACCCAGCAGACGGGGAGAATAAAAACCAAACACCCCCCCCCACCCCAGCCCCGCTGCCAATCCTCAACAGAAATGCTCACAACAATGAAAACCTTGGACAGGAGGAAGAGCGTGGCCAGGCGGGCAGGCAGGTGTTTTGCTCGGCTGTGGCTGGGGGGGCACTTTTTTCAGTGCTATTGTCACTTCGAACAGTCACTAAGCAAACTGTTGTAAGTCAAGGACTACCTGTACTTTATCACTTTTTTCCTTTTTTTTTTTTTGGTCATCAAGTTTTTGACATCTTGCTAGGCGACTGATGGTACTCGGATGCTGCCATATCCTAAAAGTGGTACAATGGGTGGAAAGGTTGAAAAGCCCTGCTCAAACTGGCCTCTTGCCAAAAACAGCAAGCGAGGGCAAGGACCAATAAGACGAACCTGACGGGCAGCTGGCCTTTTTCCCCCTTGATAGAACGATCTGGATACAAGCAGTCCTCAACTTACGACCATTAGTTTGCCAACTGTTCAAAGTTACAGCGGCACTGGAAAAAAACCCTGATTTATGACCAGTTCTCAAACTTATGGTCAAATGATGAAAATTTGGGCACGTGGCAACTGGCACATACTTAGCCCGTTCCAGGATCATATGATTACAGCTTCCAACAAGCAAAGTCAATGAGGAAAACTGGATCCACTTAACAACTGCAGCTTAGCAGCCGTGGCCAAACAGGTTGTAAAACTGGGCACGACTCCTTTAACTTTGCTTAGCAACCAAAATTCTGGTCCTAACTGTGGTCGTAAATTGAAGACTGCCTATAGTCTTATTCAAACATTAATAAATTTTAGGTCTCTGAGATTTTTTTTTAATGCTTGGGTGCCATCATTCCACTTCTGAAATTAAAAAGACTAAAATAATAACATGCATGCTGCATCCAATGGAAAAAGGCCTCACATCAGTTTGTTTAGCGACCGTTCAAAATTACAACAGCACTGAAAAAAGGGACTTGTGACCATTTTTCACACTTATGATCGTTGCAGCCTCCCCAGGGTCATGGGATTTACCTTCGGATGCTTGGCAACTGACTCATATTTATGACGGTCGCAGTGTCCCAGGGTCACGTGATCCCCTTTGCGACCTTTTGGCAAGCAAAGTCAAGGGGGAAGCCAGATCAGTGGGTTACTAATTTAACAACTGCAGTGATTTACTTGACAAACGTGGCAAAAATAGTCATAAAATAGGCCAAAACTGATTTAACCAATGTCTCACTTAGCAACAGAAATTCTGGGCTCAGTTGTGGTCGTGAGTCGAGGACCGCCTGTACTGTATATGTGGCAAAAGACAAGACAAAAGTCCCTCAAGATATCCCAGGTCCAGGCCAAAGCTCTGCTCTGGACATTCTCTGTATGGTTTTCCTTTTGGAATATTTTTATTATTGAAGTAAGAGAATACAGCAGTGTTTCTCAACCTGGGCAACTTTAAGGTATATGGGCTTCAACTCCCAGCATTCCCCAGCCAGCTGAATGCTGGGAGTTGAAGTCCATACACCTAAAAGTTGCCAAGGTTGAGAAACATTGGAATACAGTACAAATTAGAAAAGTTTCAAAGTTAGTGCCATGTCAAGAGTCGCCTAACCTGAGCGTTATTAAGACATGACTGCTTCTCTAGAGCAGTCTTTCTCAACCTTGGCTACTTAAGTGTGGACTTCAACACCCAGAATTCCCCAGCCAGCAGCTTCCATGGGGATTATTTTGCTCCAGCTCCAGAAGCAACACTTCACAGGACTTAACAGGAAATCTTTTGGGTTGATGCTTTCAGCTTTAACCACTAGTTTCCTAAGGACATCAGTTTAATTCTTTTTGTCTAGGGGGGTTTTTACCATCAGATAAAAACTCTTTTATTCACACAAGCTGAGCCTGCTATTCTGATCTAGCTTTTCTTTCTTCTATTGTTTCTTTTTTGTTTGGCTTCATCGCCCCCAGTTTCCCCATCATTACATCAGTCTCTGGGCCTGCAACATTAGGATGACTTTCAAAGTAGGAAAAGAACCATACCTGGGGGACAACTCCTAAAGCCTTCCGCAGGCTTTCCAAACTGACATTTTGTATATTCTTGCCAGCAATATAAATCCCTCCCTTCTGAGGCTCATAGAAGCGAAATAACAATCTTATAATTGTGCTTTTCCTAAAAAAAAAAAAAAAAGAGAGAGAGAAAGAGAGAGAGAGAGAGAGAGAGAGAGAGAGAGAGAGAGAAAGAGAGAGAGACTCAAGGTTGGAACAGTTTTTGCACCTTTTAAAAAACCCAGGTTTTTATCGCCATTAAAAAAAAAGAAATCAATCAATGATGCAGAATTTTGTGCATCCATTTACCCACCCTGACCCACTGCCTCCTACAAGGGCCACTTTTCTTCCTGCAGGGACTTCAAAAGACACGCCACTGAGGACTTTCTGCCCCTCAAGGTATTCAAAATGCACGTTATCAAAGGCGATGGTAGCAGTCTGTGGTGTAATCTGCAGGGGTGGAGCCAGTTCTTTATCCTATTAAAAGAAGAGTCCCGCTTTACACACATGGACCAGAAGGTGTTCTAAAGAGCTTAACAGGCTAAACAATAGATCTAATTGAAAATGAGGCACGAGCAAATGCCTGAAAGAGATTAAAAGTAATAATAATAATAAAAAAATCTAGCAGTTTCAGCCACAGGTAATTTTTTTTCCTTTCTCTCTCCCCTCTTCTTTCAAGCTCAGTGATTTTTTTTTTGATTTTTTTTTTTGCCAGAATGGTCTGGCTCCAAAGCAGCCTTTTGCACCATCAATTCTGCATCATTAATTAAAATGACAGAATAAAATCTCAATGCACAGGGCACACTTATATAAAATGCAGAGATGACACAGACCCCCCCCTTGCCTTTCCTCCCCCCCAAAGCTCTTTCAGAAATGCAAATTAGAATGAAGGATCGTGGGGAACTGCTCAAAGATTGCCATTAAAAACAAATCGGGATCCATTTTAAACTAGCACACATGACAAGCATTTAAGGAAGGTTTTATAGACAATACTCACCTTGATTTTAGTGTCTATGCTAAGCAGCGTAAACAATAGGTTCATGTCTATGAGCGCCTGCCTCGTCTCTCTATATACCGTCCCCAGGAAGTTAAGGGGTAAGGAAAGCTGGAACAGCAATCCGTTCACCATGACCAGATCGCCAACAGTTAGGTTACCTTCGTGACAAAGACAAGGTAGAGGAGCAATAAGGCAGTTTCCAGCTATGTAGCTTAAATTTTCAAAATAAGTTGCAGCAAGCTTATTTTTTTCCCAAGCACCAAAAGGTAAGAGAAGAAACAACGGTTGGCAACTAACCCAGGAGAGAAACAGCTTAGAACTCAGGAGAAATTTCTTAACGGTGAAAGCAATCAACCAATGCAACAGCTTGCCTTCAGAAGTTGTGATTGCCCCATAACGGCAGGCTTTCAAAGAGAGGCCGGACAACCATTTGTCTGAAATGATATAGGGTCCTGCTTGAGCTTCCTTCCACCTCTATTATTCTATGTTCTATCTAAGCTATTAATAACCCTACTCAAATTTACAGGGTTATAAATTTCAGCATAGATTCATATTAAAGCTGAAATCAGCTGACAGCCGTATGTTTAGATCACACTACCACAAAACTTAGTAGAAAAATGGGAGGGGGGGGACCTGTAACCCCGTGCTGCAAAACCCACGGCCTTCCTTGTCCTTGGTGTGCTGGCGTGGCTGGGGGGGAACATCCGGGGAACCACCACAAATACAGGAGATGCGTTTGAAAAGAGCAAGGGGAAGAGGAAGAGCAGGGAGTGGAGTGGAAGTGAAGCATGAACTTCATATGAAGAACTAGGTTTGGACGAGTAAGAGGTACCTGCAACAACCCCCTTGCTGGCCATCACCATCACGGCCGTTAATCCAATGCTGAATATAGTGCTTTGTCCAAAATTAAGCAGAGCCAAAGTTGAGGTAGTTTTCAGCGAGGCCTTTTCATAGGTCTTCAAAAATCCATCATACTGTTGGGCTTCATAATTTTCATTATTGAAGTACTAGGAAGAGGGAAAAAAGTCTCCTTAGGAAAATTCTGGCTGTTTTATGTTTTAGGATGCAATTAAAGATAGTCCTCGACTTATGATCACAACGGAGCCCCAAATTTCTGTTGCTAAGTGAAACATTTATTAAGTGAGTTTTGCCCCATTTTACGACCTTTTTTGCCATAGTTAAGTGAATCACTGCAGTTATTAACCTGGTTGTTAAGTGAATCTGGCTTCCCCACTGACTTTGCTTGTCAGGAGGCCGCAAAAGGGGACCATGTGACCCTGGGACACAGCAACGGTCATAACTATGGAACAGTTGCCAAGTGTCTGAATTTTGATCACATGTTCACGAGGATGCTGCAACGGTCTTAACTGTGAAAAACGGTTGTAAGTCACATTTTTCAGTGCTGTTCGAACTTTGAATAATCACTAAATGAATTGTTGTAATTTGAGGACTACCTGTGCTTTCTGTGAATCTGTTGCAGGGGTAGGCAACCTCGCTCTTTTATGACTCATGGACTTCAACCCAGAATTCCCGAGTCAGCATAGCTGACTCGGGAATTCTGGGTTGAAGTCCATGAGTCATAAAAGAGCCGAGATTGCCTACCCCTGCGTTGGAGCAACCTCTGAGCATGATCTGCCACACCAAGCCATGCCACCCTTCGTATGTTCTTACTGGCCAAGTGCTGTTCAGCTAGAGATGCAGCCTTTTCGTCCTAACAGCACATCCTCTTGTAACACGTATCCAATGCTCATCCTCAGTGGTTAAAGGGCCATGCAAGACCACAGGCGTTGTGTGTGATTAAGAGTGACCGGCCAAGAATCACCATTCAGTTTTCCAGCTGAGCAGGGGTTCAGGATTGGACAATCCTACTTTTACAGCTGCAGCCAGCAAACATTAACATTGTTCCAGTCTGCATAGCCAACTGAGTTGTAAGCTTCTGAAATCCTTGTCAAATAAGGATAAATCAGAAGAGCCATGGATCTGCCTAATGAACACTGCAATCCTGTCTGGTGTGAAAAAGTTTCCTGCAGTAGCGGGGAAGGCAACATTTTTTTAAAAAATGGCTTGCCACTGCCTTCTTCCTAAGGCTGAGAGAGAGTGATTGGCTAATTTTGCTGGAGTCACACACCAACACTAATATCATTTTATAGAAATTTTCTTTTAACAAAGGTTTAATGAATATTTTAACCTTTTCCACATTTTCTCACTCTACCGACAGTGTTATATTTGAAATTCTTAGCCCATTTTATCATACTCTTTCATTTGTTCATCTTCCATTTCAAAAATCAGTTAAGAATTCATTCATTTTAACAATTACATTTTCATTTAAACATAATTCAGCTTCAAATTCTGTCGTTTGTTGCTCAATTCCAAATGTCCTGTTATCTACCTTGACTCTTTCTCTGAGCTGTGCATACGAAATGCATTGAAAACTAAGTCCCCCTGGAGCCAGTTGTTCTTTTGATTTTATCTTATATTTTCTCCATGTTTTTGTTCTAACAACTCTCAATAGATTAACCGTTTCTCTTTACCTGCTGCTTCTTTCCTATAAAATGCTGCTTCTACTAAAACCAATAAAAGCATTTTTGAGCACAGTCTGGATTTATACTATTCCATATTCTCAATATGGCATTTCTTGATATAGTGATTTTTAAAATTGATATTAACCTTAAGTTTATTCAGGCCAGCACATTAGCTAGCCCTTAAACTGTGTTGCCCACCATGGTTTGGATTTTAAGCTAGCATTTCTGCTTTCAGTTAAATAGGAATTAATAAACTGCCATACAGCTGGTCAAACACGCTGAAGCAGACTTTTCAGTGACAAAAGCATCTGGCTCCTTTAAGAAGCAAATCAAGAGGGAAAGTATGACAAGAGAAGCAGCATTCTTATATTACATAAAGGTAATCAACAGATTATAACCCAAGCAGGTGAACATTTGTTTACCTTTTAGGCTAAGAGTAATCCTTTCAGTCATTATTCCTAACAGAAAGGAATAAATAAATCTTCTTTTTGAGTAAAGGCTACCAAAAGACACATATTGTTAATAAGACCTGCCCAAGTAATGACAATATGAAAAGTGAAAAATGTTAATGGCTTACCTTTACAGTTTCATAATTCAGCAGAGAGTCAATTGCAGCATTGCCTGCATCGTTATCGGCTTTATTCATTTCGATCCTAAATTTAGTTCTGCAAGACAAAAGGTTGGCAGAGACGGTTGTTCCCATCCAGCTCCACCGGGCCGTCAAATCTCACCAGAGAGTCCTCGACAGCAGGGCAGCCTTACCTCCACTGTGTAAGTCCTATTGTGAATGCCGTGTATGCTCCTAATGTCCCCAAGGTTACAAGTGCGAAATGTGCACCACATTTATAATACTGCAGGGAAAGGAAAAGGAAAAAAAAAAGGTTTCCAATCATTTTGTTTGGAACATCAATGTACAGAAACCTCTCTGTACAAGACATACATATAAGAGATAACAATAATAATTTTCTACAAGCCAGACAGAAGGGCAGTGGAAAGATTATGATCAAGGCAGTTTACCTCCTTGACACCATATGCACTAGGACAGGGGTAGGCAACCTTGACTCTTTTATGACTCGTGGACTTCAACTCCTAGAATTCCTGAGCCAGCATGGCTCAGCATGGAAACCTCTCCTTTTTCCTTCAGCCTGGCTGGCTCAGGAATTCTGGGAATTGAAGTTACAAATCATAAAAGAGCCAAGGTTGCCTACCCCTGCACTAGGAGCAGCTCTACAAGGCCAAGACTCTCAGATACAAACACTCAACTCTCAGATACACAATCATCATATACAAGAGGTGCACCCAGAGAGGTGTTCTCAACTGAAAATAAATGGAAGTAATGAATGGAATCTAGGAGCTTTGATTCAAGGAAAAGATGGGCAGATTACCAGATTTGTCAGTAAATAAGCTGCAATGATTCCAATTACAAAAACTTTTATTGTCACTTTTTTTTGTACACTTTTTTTTTGTACACTGGCACACATTAAAATTGAAATTCTGATGCGCGCGCTCAAAAGTGTGTATGTGTGTGTATACACACACACACACACACACACACACACACACACACACACACATACAGATGCACATATACATACAGTGGGGCAAAAAAGTATTTAGTCAGCCACCAATTGTGCAAGTTCTCCCATTTAAAAAGATGAGACAGGCCTGTAATTGCCATCATAGGTAGACCTCAACTATGAGAGACAAAATGAGAAAACAAATCCAGACAATCACATTGTCTGATTTGGAAAGAATTTATTTGCAAATTATGGTGGAAAATAAGTATTTGGTCACCTACAAACAAGCAAGATTTCTGGCTCTCACAGACTTGTAACTTCTTCTCTAAGAGGCTCCTCTGTCCTCCACTCATTACCTGTATTAATGGCACCTGTTTGAATTTCTTATCAGTATAAAAGACACCTGTCCACAACGTCAAACAGTCACACTCCAAACTCCACTATGGCGAAGACCAAAGAGCTGTCGAAGGACACCAGAAACAAAACTGTAGACCTGCACCAGGCTGGGAAGACTGAATCTGCAATAGGCAAGCAGCTTGGTATGAAGAAATCAACTGTGGGAGCAATAATTAGAAAATGGAAGACATACAAGACCACTGATAATCTCCCTCGATCTGGGGCTCCACGCAAGATCTCACCCCGTGGGGTCAACATGATCACAAGAACGGTGAGCAAAAATCTCAGAACCACATGGGGGGACCTAGTAAATGATCTGCAGAGAGCCGGGACCAACATAACAAAGGCAACCATCAGTAACACACTACGCCGCCGGGGACTCAGATCCTGCAGTGCCAGACGTGTCCCCCTGCTTAAGCCAGTACATGTCCAGGCCTGTCTGAAGTTTGCTAGAGAGCATTCGGATGATCCAGAAGAGGATTGGGAGAATGTCCTATGGTCAGGTGAAATCAACGTAGAACTGTTTGGTAGAAACACAACTCGTCGTGTTTGGAGGAGAGAGAATGCTGAGTTGTATCCAAAGAACACCATACCTACTGTGAAGCATGGGGGTGGCAACATCATGCTTTGGGGCTGTTTCTCTGCAAAGGGACCAGGACGACTGATCCGTGTACAGGAAAGAATGAATGGGGCCATGTATCATGAGATTTTGAGTGCAAACCTCCTTCCATCAGCAAGGGCATTGAAGATGAAACGTGGCTGGGTCTTTCAGCATGACAATGATCCCAAACACACCACCCGGGCAATGAAGGAGTGGCTTTGTAAGAAGCATTTCAAGGTCCTGGAGTGGCCTAGCCAGTCTCCAGATCTCAACCCCATAGAAAACCTTTGGAGGGAGTTGAAAGTCCGTGTTGCCCAGCGACAGCTCCAAAACATCACTGCTCTAGAGGAGATCTGCATGGAGGAATGGGCCAACATACCAGCAACAGTGTGTGCCAACCTTGTGAAGACTTACAGAAAACGTTTGACCTCTGTCATTGCCAACAAAGGATATATAACAAAGTATTGAGATGAACTTTTGATATTGACCACATACTTATTTTCCACCATAATTTGCAAATAAATTCTTTCCAAATCAGACAATGTGATTGTCTGGATTTGTTTTCTCATTTTGTCTCTCATAGTTGAGGTCTACCTATGATGACAATTACAGGCCTCTCTCATCTTTTTAAGTGGGAGAACTTGCACAATTGGTGGCTGACTAAATACTTTTTTGCCCCACTGTATGCTGTATACAACTATTGTCAGACCTGCCCCAGGTAGGTCCCTTAGGAAGGAAAGACCCTGGACTCCATTTGGCTGAAGTCATTAGGTTCTTTTACTAAAGGCTCCTGGCTGCAGCAAAGTCAGGCTAGAACTAAGTTTCCTGTGTGAAAAAGTTAGAAAATTGTTCCCCTCATCCCAGCCCTCCCTCCAGTTCCATCTTCAGCCAATGAAAAGCCGCCGAGATGTTTGCGGTGGTCCCCATTCCACTCTCGGGATGCCTGGCCTTGAGCGCTGGCACAAAAGGGTTCCGTGCATCTCGCATCTCTCTGGTCTCCGTTGCGCCGTCATCCCACCATCCCCATTTGCCATCATATCCCCATACAGGTTTATTGCCCATTTGTTCCCCCCCTCCTGTATCCCCTTCTTCCTAGTCTTTGATGGTAGGATGCCAGCAAGGCGCCAAGCCGAAGATGGCAGACCTGACACATATACATACATGTGTGCACAACACACACACACACACACACACACACACTAATTACAGTCCATTTGAATACATAGCCCAAAAAAACAAAAAAGTCTTGAGGGTTAACAAGGTTGATATTATATGGTACAAAGCTATTCCAGAACAGTTTACCAATAGTTCCTCTCTTGCTAATATCATCTCCATATCCAATATGGACTGGTCCTCATATAACGGTTTAGCATTACAATTCCGCTTTCTTGTCACAATTCTTAAAGAATCACTCAGTCCGGATGGCTCTTTCAACTCCAAAACCCCAATACTTTTGAGAGCTGAAGCAGCCACAGCCAAGCAAGGCGCTGCCATGACTCTATATAAGGCCCCATCATATGATTATATTTTATGCCCATAGAAATGAGTCCTAGATTTCCATGCTGTAACTTTAACTTATTTTCCAAGAGAACATTTGCGATTCTGTTGAAAGGTTTTGGAACAGTCCAACCTGGGATATTTGCATCCCCTCAACATTGATGAGCGAGAGCTTCTGGGCACATTTTACCCTCAGCAGTAAGGTCAGGAAACAAACCAAAGCCATACTAAAGCCTCTATTCCTTTTCCTTTAGAGCAGTGGTTCTCAACCTTTTTAATGCCGCGACCCCCAACTGGTCGTAAGTTGAGGACTACTCAACCGGTCGTAAGTCGAGGACTACTCAACTAGTGCAGCACCGTTTGCAAACTGGGACTTTTGGCGGGCTCAGCAGGGCAGAGACAGCCTGGACAATTCCTATTGGCTTTTGAAAGCCAATAGAATTAGACTCTATTCAAGAGAGTCCATTCTATTGGCTTTCAAAAGCCAATAGAATAAAAGGGAGTAGCACAGCTAAGGAAAAGGGGAAAAAATGGCGGACTGCGTTGTTTGGTGACCTCCGTGAAATGGTCTTTCGACCCCAAATGGGGTCCCAACCCACAGGCTGAGAACCTCTGCTTTAGAGTCAGACCAGTGTTTCTCAACTTGAGAAGATGTGTGGACTTCAACTCCCAGAATTCCTCAGACAGTGTAGTTGGCTAAGGAATTCTGGGAGTTGAAGTCCGCGCATCTTCAAGCTGCCAAGATTGAGAACACAGTCCTAAAATGATACATGTTGCTCTATCTTGTGTGAGTTCTTGGCATTTGCTATCTGCAGAAGCAGCTGCGAGAGATTTCCCACTTTAAGCTCGAGACTAGAATAGGGTCTATTTACTTTTCCTGGCACAATGAAAACCCCACCCACTTCAATGAAAGACACTGGGCATTATTAATTCAAAAGCCACCACTGTTAAGACTTTGGGATAGGTTTCATATCCTGCCCTTACCTTCCTGGCACACCACTTATGGATCTTCTGCTTGAAAGCCTGGCTAATTTAAGGAAGGAGAACGATTATGAGCGTGCTCTTAAATGTCAACCTGGTTCAAATGCTGTGAAATATTGAGAACACCAGATGGGAAGCATGGAATAGAAGAGTAGCATCTGGACCATTATAACCATACTGACAGCTAGCCTTCTTGGCAATAATCTGCGAGCACTGCTCTCTCTTAGCTCACACTCAAGAAGCCGAGGCTATCAACAAGGGTTTTTTTTCCAGACAAGTTGGGGAGATATTATACAGGCAGTCCTCGATTTATGACCAAAATTGGGCCTGAGATTTTGGTCGTAACTTGAGGTGATCCTTACCTGGGTCACCACATGATTGTAAAGCAAGTCACCATGGTTTATTAAGTGAAGCACATGGACGTTAAGCAAATGCAGCATATCCGATGGGTATGTTTTCTGTTTTCTCTGGAAAATGGCAAAGAAAGTTGCAAATCGTGGTCAAGTGACCGTGGGATGCTGCAAACGCTTATAAGTGCAACCTGGTTGCCCAGCATCCGAACTGTGATGTGATCCCACGAGGGTGTGTGCGACATTTTACAATGCTTTACAGACCATAAAACACCCTTTCTGAGGCTGTTATAATCGATTGGTCACCTTTACCTATTAGGATCCTCCTGCCATTGTACAGTAAAGTTGGAGCCTTTTGTAACGTAGGGAAGAAGGCTATGCAAAGCACCAGAAAAGAGCCTTTTGCAAAAAGCTCTGGGCCAAGCAAAGCACTCATCCTCCATGCGTCAGAAACAGGAGCCCCTTCTGTAAAGCTATCATGTATAGTCAAGGCCATGGTTTTCCCAGTTGCCATGTATGGTTGTGAAAGTTGGATCATAAGAAAGGCTGAGCGTCAAAGAATTGAGGCCTTTGAACTACGGTTGCTGGAGAAGACTCCTGCAAGTCCCCTGGACTGCAAGGCGATCAAACCGGTCAGTCCTAGAGGAGATCAACCCTGACTGATCTTTAGAACAGGGCTTTTCAACCTTTTCACCCATTGTACCACGTTTGGATATGGCAACATCCGAGTACCACCAGTCGCCTAGCAAGGTGTCAAAAACTTGATGATCCAAAAAAAAAAAGAAAGAAAAAAGTGATAAAATACAGGTAGTCCTCGACTTACAACGGTTTGCTTAGTGACTGTTCGAAGTTACAATGGCACTGAAAAAAGTGCCCCCCAAGCCACAGCCGAGCAAGATACCTGCCTGCCCACCCGGCATCGCTCTTCCTCCTGTCCGAGGTTTTCATTGTTGTGAGCATTTCTGTTGAGGATTGGCAGCAGGGGTGGGGTGGGGGGGTGTTTGGTTTTTATTCCCCCCGTCTGCTGGGTGGTTGAACAGGTTTTGGTCACTTCCCATGACCCTGGGACACTGTGATTGTCATAAATATGAATCAGTTGCCAAGCATCGGAATGTAAATCACAAGACCCTGGAGATGCTGCAACATTCCAGCTGATCGGCGCTTCTTCTGGGCTCAGGAGAAGCACCAGGATCAGTGCCAAGCTCCAGCTGGAGCCTGACGCTGATCCTGGCGCTTCCGCTGAGCCCTGACGGCCCTGCAACTCCAGCCATCTCTTGCTCAGGCTTGTGTGATGCTGCCACCGGTTCAGCTCATTCCCCTCCCCATCACTTTTTTAGGATGGTCGTGTACCACCTGCCAGGTGCCAATGTACCACAGGTGGTACCCGTACCACCGGTTGAAAAGCCCTGCTTTAGAAGGCCAGATCCTGAAGTTGAAACTCAAGTACTTTGGCCACCTAATGAGAAGGAAGGACTCGCTGGAGAAGGGTCTAATGCTGGGAAAAATTGAGGGCAATAGAAGAAGGGGACGACAGAGAATGAGGTGGCTGTATGGAGTCACTGAAGCAGGAGGCGTGAGCTTAAAGGGACTCCAGAAGATGGTAGAGGACAGGAAGGCCTGGAGGAATGTTGTCCATGGGGTCGCGATGGGTCGGACATGATTTTGCAACTAACAACAGCAACGGCTATCAAGGCTTTCCCCAGCGGCTTCTGCCTGCCCGTGTTTGGATAGAGCTTTTGCCTTGCACAGGGCCTTTTCAAATGTTTTGCACGAGTCTGACACCAACAGACTCAGGTGCATCTCAATTGTAGAAAATACAATTCTTAAAATAAATGCAGAAGCAGGTCTCTGGCTAAAGAGGGGTTTAGAAACAGACGTTGGGAGCCTCTTTTGGAATCAAATTAAGTTCTGCTCTCTTTATTCAACCGGTTACTTTGCTTGTCATATCAGCTTCCTGGGTCAGCCTCACATTCAGATGTTAAGTTTGGCAGATGGTACTGTTTATACATTAACACCCATGGACATCCAGCGAGGCCACCTTTTCTATGTCTTTACAAGTAGTCCTCAATTTACAACCATACTGTAACTGAGCCCAATATTTCTGTTGTTAAACGCTAGTCAGAAGGTTGCAAAAGGGGATCATGTGACCCTGGCGCACACTGCAATCCTCATAAATCTAAGTCAACTGTCAAGCCTCTGAATTTTGATCACGTGACCAGGGTGATGCTGCAACTGTTGTAAGCGTGGAAAATGGCCGTTAAGTCTCTTTTTTCAGTGCTGTTGTAACTTTGAACGGTTGCTAAATGAACTGTTGTAACTCGAGGACCACCTGTATTTCCTTAAGAATAACAGAGTTGCTTTGGAGATGCCCAAGGGGACGAAGCAGAAGCAAGGGGCGGATGGGGCCGCGTTAGATGGCAACAGCCCTCCTCTGCCTTTCTGATCCCTTCTTTTTCCTCTTTCCTCCAACAGGATTCTGGGAAAGGGAAGGAGTGGGCCACATCTGGCCCCAGGGACAGCCGATAGCCACGAGACATGGGTATCAAACAAACGATGGGCGTCACAATTCAATGAAAATGACACATACCAAAATCCCACTCACGAGGGCCACTTCAAACAAGGTGGGCCCCAGATTAAACACCAGCGCACTGAGCACAAAGCTGATGCCGCGGGTGCCTCGGTCGATGGCCTTGGACAACGCTCCAGTTTGCCGATTCAGATGGAAGCCCAAGTCCAGCTGATGCAAGTGGAGGAAGACATTTTTGGCTATTCTCCTGATGGAATTCTGGGCCACTTTCCCAAAGACGGCGTTTCTGGCTTCGTTAAATAACGCTGCGCCTGCTCGCGAGATGCCGTCTGGGTAAAAGAAGGAGGAGAGAAAACAAGGGTTTAATTTTTAATCCATTTTATTTTACTCATCTTCAACAGCTTTTAACACCCCATGTTAACGTTATTGGATGAGAAGTCAAAGGTTATCAGTTAAGTCATTTTTAAACAGATTGCCTCTTCAGATATTTGGTTGTTTGTTTGTTTTTTAAAAAAGCACAATGCAAAAGCAGGCCTGGAGACTAGGCTATTATTCCAGCAGATAACACAACTCAAGAGAATCGCAGTACGTTAATTCTTCATGATAACAAAGTAGGAGAAACTCCAGCAAACCATGTTTACCACAGATGCTTTCCTGTGAAAGGTCAGGTGCGCTAATGTTCACAAACCTTCCTGAAGAAAGTCAGCACCTGTCAGCAGATTAAAGCATCATACTTACATCCAATCAGAACAGCTGTTGCCATGGTTGCAACTGTACTGGGTGCATCGCTCAGGTTCAGAACATTTCCAGACAGCTGGTTGAGGTTGTCTACTGCATATTTAAACATGAAGGGAACCACGATGTTCATAGCCTAAAAAGCATAAGATAGTATGCAAGATCATTATGTACATGGTTATGCAAGACATGCTAAAATGCTTTATTTATAAAATATAAAGGTTTTCTCTGAAGAAGCTGAAACTGTGATATTTTGCTAGTGACTACTTACTGGCAGAACACAACGGCCATCAGGCACAACATCGTAAGAATACAAGGCCCGCCTGCCCAGAGCAGAAGTGGCACATTTTCCCCTTTTCATAAAAAGCAGCCTTCATCTCAACTACCCTCAGTTGAGAAAGTGCTCGTTAAAGGGTTGACGAGACTGGGAGACACAAAGTAAAATAGCTCAGGGTATGCATTTTTAGAGCCACTGGAAGCTGCTCAGTGTTTCAACCTCAAAACTTCTAGAACAGAACTCCATTACCTTTCTTGACAAGCCAGACATTAAGCCAAGATAAACCTGGTATATTAAAAGACACAATGGGGGAAAGGTTACCAGCAACCTTGCCAGACAGAAATTGAAATTCATCCCTGAAAATTGACTAGGCCAGGGGTAGGCAACCTTGGCTCTTTTATGACTCGTGGACTTCAACTCCCAGAATTCCTGAGCCAGCATGGCTCAGTTTGGAAACCTCTCTCTCTTTCCTCTCAGCATGGCTGGCTCAGGAATTCTGGGAGTTGAAGTCCACGAGTCATAAAAGAGCCAAGGCTGCCTACTCTTGGACTAGGAGGAAGAAGAACATTCATACAGTTTTACAAAGGATGTGTCCAAAGTAGAGCTGAAATGCAACGATTAATTTTAACTCATTCAATTTTGGTGTTGCCTGATTCCAGAGAACTCCGGGTGGCTCACAACGTAAGAACAATAAAATACAGCACATGAATAATAAAAAAACTGAGAAAAAAGAGCACAGACAAAAAAAAAAAAAAGACAAAATGGTGGTCCAGCCAACAATGCACAATGCATGTGGTTCAAATGCAGACATTCAGCACAATGTGGTCAATTTACAGCAACATGATGCACCTAGGACAGTGTTTCCCAAACTTGACAATTTTAAGGCATGTGGACTTCAACTCCCAGAATTCCACAGCCAGCAATGCTGGCTGTGGAATTCTGGGAGTTGAAGTCCACATGCCTTAAAATTGTCAACTTTGGGAAACACTGACCTAGGATATCGTTTGGTGATTTGGATCTGGACTCTTTACAGATGAGCTCCCTTGTTCATACAACTGTACCAACACGTACGTGCAACTGCGCACACACCTGTGCTGCCTGCTGCTGCTTGTAAAACCTCTGTAACATTTAGGAAACTTTTGACCCCTTTATTCTGTGTGTGCATATTTGGCACGGACCACGATGGTAGCTGGGAGGCAGGTTTTTCGGCTATTTTTGAAGACTAGCAGCTGGCAGCAACCCGGGTAATGATGTCACAGCATCACACACACGAGAGATGAAGTATTCTTACAGGTTTCCCATTTATAGAGGGATAGTCCCCCTTTCTTTTCGGTCTACATCTAACTAGTATACAACACATAGCTTGATGAGAAATTATATACACAATTTGGAAGGGGGGGAAGCTGTAACCAGATGCCATTTTCAAGATTTGGAGATACCTTGCTGCATTATAGAAATGTGGTTCTGGTAGGCTCTGAAGATTATCAAAAGGATTCAGGATAGCGATCCACCTCTGAATTGCTCAGTACTGATATATAGGTGAAACACAACAGCCCCACAAGTAATTCCAATTCATAGCTCCTTTTAAAAGCTGGAGAAAAACCAGCTGTATTTCTCCTTCTCAAGTGTTACAGAGCACTTTGGATTATATACATCCTTGCAGAAATTGACCAGCAGCCATAGGGTGCTGACCTGCTCAGTAATCAGTTTTTCTTCCTGCTAAATTCAGAAAAACAGCCTGATTTACTTTTAACAAATAGCAAAATAGATAAGCAAATGGATAACTTCTTTTATTTATTTTTACGCCACCTGCCTGAAGGCGATATAGGACAGCAGTAGAACTACAAGCGTAAAAACTAAAATAAAAAAAGCAATGGAAACACGTTAACCCTGATGTAATATAAAATACATTAAAATCTATTTCACATAACTGAATACACTCCTAGCAATCCCCACAGGACTATAACATCAACAGAGCACTTCTCCAATAAAAGCCGGTTGAATCAGGTAACATTTTTAAAGTCAGTGCAGTCATGGCAGTAAACTGCACCCAAACTGATGGCTAAGTTCTTTTGGTAGATTTACATAGACGTTAAAAAGCCCCGAGGGGCATGCTCCAACTCTGGGGAGTCGTGAATGTCACAGACCAGCATTATCTTCTGAAATAAGGTTCACATTTCGGACTAACCCCAAATGAGATTGCTTTAGTCTCTCGCCTACTGAGTGATACCATTTTGGATTACCAATTAACCGTGGCTTACAGCAATGTGCAGAAACAGTCTAAGACCGCCCTCCCTTAGCCTACCCAGATACACAAGCAGACAGTTTGAAAGAAATGAATCCCGAAGAGCAACTCAAAGTAACCAACGTGGGAATATTCCTCCTATCTGGAGAGGTATATTTCCCCAGGGCCACCACTGAGAAGGCCCTGAATAACAGCACCGCCAATCTAATGTCTAAACAGGATAAGGCTTCATTAAGCAGATACCAATGTTTTAGGGAGAGACATAACCTCTCTCCTGTTTTGTGCCTCAAACTGATCACTGTGATGGGTGCTTTGGGGCTATTAGAAACTTAAATGCTCCACATCACCATTTGATACTGGAGTCTTGCTCTGCCTCTAGGAGTTTACTCGGATTAGAATTACACAACATCCCTGAAGATTTCACACATTTAAAATGTTACAATCACAAATCACAGTCAGTGGGAAAAAAAAAAACCCAGATTGTTGGAAAATTGAGACATGAAGCTCTAAGGAATTAGAGAATGTGTTCAACAGATGTTAAAGCTTAAAAGAAGTGTTTTGTTTTAGAATTTTAATTTCCAACGATGCCTTTCAGATAAGCAGCAACAAGCGTTGGTCAACTCCCTTCGGTCCAACTTGCCTGGAAACTCAATTTTAATTCATTCTTCTGTTTTTGGCACAATACCACTCCATCTGCACTACATTGTGGTGACCATCATTTAGAGACCATAAAACTGGTTTCCCTGGGAGAGCCTACTCAGTAGCAGTGACATTTATTATAATGCCAATTCTGGAAAGGTCCCTCTCCAGCTATTTTTTTTTTTTTAAAAAGAGGCTACACACCATGGTGAGTTAGAAAAGACACATATTTTTCCTAAAGTTAAAAGGGTATAGCCCCCCCCCCTATCCCTTTAGGTATCCTTCTGAACCTTCAATTAAATTAATTGGCTTTACTATATATATATCCTCCTCCGATGTAGCCATACCTTTGAAAGTGCTTACATTAAATTTAAAATTGGTCTCTCACACTCCCAAGGGCTAAAAGGACGAATCAGAATAAGGCACCATAGTATTAAATCACAGTGTTCTCAGTTTTCCTCTCCTTCACCACTACCTGTCAAAATCAAAAGTGTCACATTCAGCTTATTTACCTTCCTCCTGTACCAGTGACTGATTAACAACTAAAAGGAATTTTTCCAGAGAGCCACTTTAGGAATTCCCAAAAGGTCTCGTAATCATCCATGAAATGCTTTTCAGGGGTTCTAAACTTCTCATACCTGAAACACTTTGCCCAAAATTTATGGTGAGTATTAAAGACTTACAAACATTTCAATGACCTACCTGCACTCTTTCTGAGTCTCATGTACTGCCAGTTGAAAATTATTACCTTAATGGCAAATCACTCCTTGCTTTATAAAAGCAGAAATAGGTTTTAAATTCCCTCCTGCTTTCAAACAGTCTGTAATTGCCAGATAACTTAAAAAGCCACTACAAGCTGCAGCTAAATATTTCCTTAGGCAAATAAAATTAGAATGCGTTTGCAATCGTGGCGAATGTTTGTAGCTCGGGCGTAGGATAAGGGTGAAGTTTCATTCTCAAAGCTTGTGGGTTGGTTTCTGAATGTAACATCTTCAGCGGAGTTTAGGGGACGTCAGTGTCGGCTTTCTTCTGTTTATAAGGGCTTCAGGTGTGAGTGTGTCAAGTGAGGGTCTTGTGATGGGGAGGTTACATCAGGTCGGGGCCACTGGGAGCTGCTGTTGGTGGGAAGAGGGGGGCTTGTGTGGGGTGGTTATGTGTTGGTGCTGTCTCTGGTTGGCTGTGCGGTTGATTTAGATTCTGAGCGGTTCGTAGGATGGTTGGGGGTCAATGTGTCTGTCGAGGGAATTGTTTGTGGAGTGCCCGGCTTCGATGAACTCACGAGTGTGCCGGCTGGTAGCATGGCCTATGATTTTTGTGTTGCTCCAATTGAACTGGTGCTGTTTGGTGTCGGTGTGGGTAGAGCAGGGGTAGGCAACGTTGGCTCCTTTATGACTCGTGGACTTCAACTCCCAGAATTCCTGAGCCAGCATGGCTCAGCACAGAAACCTCTCCCTTTCCCCTCAGCACAGGTGGCTCAGGAATTGTTGACACATAGCACCCAAACCACACAAATTACCATGCAAACCACCACACACTACACGAACTACCACGCAAAAACTAACCCTACCATATACTCCGCCAGGAATTATCCAGAACCAAAGACAAGATACAGACGAATGAAAGAAACAATGTAATCTACAAAACCAACTGTAACAGTTGCAACCAATTTTATGTGGGGCAAACACCAGGTGTAGAACTGCCATTGTGAACGATTTTTGAACCAAGGAAGATAAATTCTGGAACTAATTCAATTTCCAATTTCCACCTTGTGGATTTTAAACAGCTCATGTCCATCTGCAGCTATTGTTGTTCCAGGTGCTAGTCTGTGGCTTATTTCTTAACTACCTCTTTGTGGGCGGTTGACGTTGATTCTAAAAGTGGGATGTTATCTACCAATTCCATATATTCATTATCAATTCTAAGATTAATTCTTATACCTGCTGTCATTTGCTTGGTCTCCTTTTAGTCCCATTTT